AAGCCTATAATGCTTTAGCCCTTCATTGAATTTCAAGAATTAAAAACTAAAGCAGATGTTGTATATGGCAAATTGTATCTCCCTGCTTCCTTCTCCTAGTTCCGTCTTACTATTTACTATTTACTTTTTTTTGAGAGAAAGAGAGAGAAAGAGAGAGAGAGAGCAGTGGAGGGGCAGAGAAAGGAGGGACAGAGGATTTGAAGCAGGCTCTGTGCTGACAGCAGAAAGCCCGGTGTGGGGCTCAGACTCACGAATCATGAGATCATGACCTGAACCAAAGTCAGACCTTTAACTGACTGAGTCACCCAGGTGCCCCTTACTATCTACTTTTAATGTCTTGATGCTTCACTTTTGAATTTCTCTTATTATTCTTTGTTGTCTTAAGCTCCCTCCATCTCTTTCCACTGTTTATTTTCATTTTTAAAAATTTTACTCAAATTCCATTATTTTATTAAGGCATTTGGAGATGAATGTGTTTTAAATTTCCTTAAATTCCTTATCACAATTTATAGTATCCAGGAACTAAAATATAAATGGGAGTCATACTGGACACCTCCAAATCTCTTATCCCTGTGTCTGCCTGTTCATCAGGTTCTTTTTATTCTCCCTTCTATTTTATTCTTTTTTTTCCCAATTAATTACTCCTCTTGATTTCTACTAGATCTACTTTAGTTCCAGCCTTCATCATGTAAGCCTGGACACTTAGAATAATGTTCTAACTCTCCCTCCACAGAAGGCTGACCTCCCTCTGCTCCTTCACACTCTTGCCACCCTGAGCATGTCACCCTCCAATTTCTTTTGCTTGTTCCCTAGAACTTGAGGATAGAGTCTTAACTGCCTTCCATGGCATTCAGGACCCTCCAGAACCAAGTCCCTCTCTTTGTAGCCCCATCTCTACTACCTGCTCAACTGCCAACCCACTGTACCCATACTGAACTGCCCTCCATGCCCCGATGACTGAACACACGTGTCCTCTACCTGGAATGCCCACCATTTCCATGTCTTCTTGGCAAATTGTTTCATACCTTTCAGTGCCCCACTCAAGCTGGTCTTCTCCACAATGCTTCTACTGATTACCCTTCCTGTATTCATGGTGACTTCTTTCTACCCTGTTAGAGTGCTGCCCATATCATGAAAATTATTTGTTGCCAGCCCTGCTAAACTGTGCTCCCTTTAGGGGCACCTGGGTGGCTCATTCGGTTAAGTGTCTAGCTTCACTCAGGTCATGATCTCATGGTCCGTGAGTTCAAGCTCTGTGTAGGGCTCTGTGCTGACAGCTCAGAGCCTGGAGTCTGCTTCAGATTCTGTGTCTCCCACTCTCTCTGCCCCTCCTTCATTCATGCTCTGTCTCTCTCACTCTCAAAAAAGAATAATAAGTGTTAAAAAATAAAAATAAAATAAACTGTGCTCCCTTTGAGGACAAGGACCTTGTCATATTCCCCTCATAGTTTCGGTGCCTGGCCCATTGTCAGTATGCTTGCTGAGTAAATAATAATGGTTGGTGAATAGAGCACATTATTTAAATACCATTACATTGAGGGATAGACATATATGTGATAAATCAGCTCAGGAAAATGTTCATGCTGGAATCCAGATAGTGGGTGTTCATTGTAAAATTCTTTCAACTTTGCTGTTACATTTGAAATGTTTTATTATTTTCATAATAAAATTGTTAGAAAGGGAACCAATTCCTAAACTGTGGTTGTTAAAACAATTCTCAGTATTCTATCAATGGTCCATTTCACCTATAGCAACCCCACTGAAAAACTGTAGTTTAGATCCCAAGGGATCTCCCTTGGTCCAACTCTGTCTTGGGGTAGAGCCTGGGGAATTCTGCTCTTTCAACCTCCTGTGGCGACCAGAGCCTACTCCTTCCCCTACTCCCAGACTTTCCTCCCAACCTCCCTTAGCAACAAGCATTTCTTTTCTCCCTAACCTGATCCCCAGAAGCCATATTAGATTACTCTTACATTACTTCCAAGCAAGAGCCTCTTCTCTTTCGAAATCCATATTATCTGTCCATTTCATATCTCTATTAATGACAATTTATGATTTAATTCAACTGTTTCATCCTCTTTTCCCAGTGTATACATCGGTTATTTTTCCAACTACACATTACAGCTCGTTCACAGATCACTTAGTCTATGAAGTTGCCTTGATCTAAATAAAAGGTTAAAGTCACTGGTCTTCCATTTGAACTTTTAGCACTATATCAATGGCTCTACAACAAGGCTCCACCTTCTACCTTCCTTCCTTTTTTCTTTTTTTAAAGCATCTTCCCTGTAAGACTATACGCCTATAAGTGTATTTGAATTTTCCATAATGAATGGAAGAGGATGGCCACAACAAGCATTCAATAATCAGCTGCCAATGAAATGAAATGAATACATTTCAGGTATTTAAATGTATTCAACATATGCTACCAGGAAGCCAAAGAGAACACAAAACAAGTTATGACAGACATAGCCACTTTAAATCTAATTTTGTAGGAGAGTGATCCTCTTTCTTTTCAATGACTCAGCAGCTTTAGGGAATGACAGTTCTAAGATTAGACATATTTTGCAGTATTAATAATGTCTTAAAAGTTTCCTCCTTTATTAAGAAGGCTAAAAATTCTGTCTTAACTGCTTACTTCAAATTAATATTAATAAAATGTGATTTGGCCAGGCAGATTAAGTGACCATGAGGTGTTTCTACAAATAATTTAAGAAAATTTAAGAGAATTTCTTTAAGGCAGAAGTAAATCCAGTTGCAAATGATATTTTGCCACACTGAAAACTCTGCATCTCCATCTGTGAAGTTTCTGTATAATAATTAACCACTTATAGAAAAGCTTTTGGAGAAAGTACTAAAATGCCTAAAATAAAGCTATATACATAATTTCAAAATATAGATTGCTGTAAGCATGTTAAAAAACCAATTCTTTCAGCAATGACTAAGCCTGAATCTACTGAATCAGGATGACGGTCATGCTAGAAAGTGTTGCTACTTCATAACCAGAAGCTCTGTTTTCATGTTATAATATCCTACTCAAAAGGTGAATTAAGAATACCATAAAAATGTAGTTGAAACTGACATGATCTTGAGCTCTGCCAAATTTCAGTTCAAATCCCAAGTCTACTATTTCCTAGTCTTATCATTTTGGCAAGTCACTATCACTCTCTGTGCCTCAGTTTCCTCATCAGTAATATCAGTTCTTGGAAGGTTGTTGACATAATTATAATGTGCATGTGTGTGCGTACCCACATACACACAGATATTTATGTATGTGAGATATGTAAGGTGGATAATAAATATAAAGAGTCTACTGTAATACCAAAAACAGAGTAATTTAATATGATAGTTATATCCTCTTTTCCCACCTCAGCCTTTTATCTTCCAGCTCAGAAAGAAAACTAGACCTTCAAAGCCATGTGATAGACTGCTAATAATTTATAATGGATAAACAATTTACAATTGATGCAGTCTTACACAAGAGAGATATTTTTACTTAGATTATTTAAAAGAGATTGTTTTGCTAAGGAAAACACTTTGGTTTATCATGGATTTTGAGTCCTTCTTAAGAGAAGAAAAGCTCAATTTCAAGAATAATCCTTAGCAAAGGGATAAAAAAGTAGATGACATCAGAACCATAGATTTTGCAAATTAAAATTGTGATTCTGAATTAATGTACAATAAGGCCATACTTATCTGGAAGAGTAAATTATACAATAAGGATATCATGTTGAGGCTTAGATATAAAAACCAGTACATTTGGAAACATGTAAGTTCTCTACATCCTGTCATACAAGATGATTGCTCTTCCTAAAATAAAATTCCTAAGGAAACATTTTAAAATAGTGAATGTTATAAAAAATGTTTTTCAATGTTTGTTTATTTTTGAGAGTGTGAACAGGGGAGGGGCAGAGAGAGATGAAGACACAGAATCCAAAGCAGGATCCAGGCTCTGAGCTGTCAACGCAGAGCCGGAGTCAGATGCTTAATTGACTGACCCATCCAGGTGCCCCAACAGTGAGTGCAATTTTTAAAAAATTCTTTAAATTGGATAAATGTAGTCAAAAGGACTAATCTCTTCTTAATAGGTTCATAAGCACATAATTTTCATTTGAAAAACATTAACAAATTATGTTCAGGATAGCTCTCTACTTTTGTTTTAAGCAGAGCCCTATAACTAGGTTCTTACATAATTTAAATTAGTGGCTTCAGATGTTCTTGTGCATGTGTTTGGGCATGGCTCTATTTTCATATGAGAAGCCAGTCTGAATTTCCTCACTATTCCATATTTGTCTCTATATTTCCCAAGATTTCTGTTGTAGTGCCTCTTACCTAGTGGCACTCAGGGAATTTTCAATGAATGCCGAACTGAATAAACAAAGTATATTTGTTTAAATAAGATATAAGAAAATTCAAGATTTGGGCTGGCATCTGCTATTAATAAACAGATTTCTCAATACATAAGAAAGAGAAATTTTAGAGCGCAAAGACCTTTGTCTTCCTCTATAAACAGCTATATAATCATCATTTTCTTCTTTCCTACAATAAGAAAATTAGCATTTGAAACAAATAGTTTCAAATATATGCTTTCATTATATGTACAACAAGCATGAATTTTAATCTTCATGATGGTGGAGATCCACTGTTAAACCCAAAAAGAAACAAGTTTTCACTTCAAAGTGCAGTCCATTAGACACCATCTCTGTATTTCTGGCACAAGTTAAACACAGAGTGCTAGGTTGATGTGACCTTAGAGGTTACCTACTCCAGTCTCTCATTATAAAGATAAGCTAATTTAGCTCCAGAAAGGTTAAATGACTTAACAAGGTCATGTAGTCAGGGAAAAATGTAGGTTTCCTTATCACATGCCCAGTGCACATGCAGCTTTCACAAATGCTCTACGTGAACTGTACTACAACGGTGGCTTTCCAGGGCTCTTCAGACCCTGGGAGCCACTACAGGCAAGCAGCTTGAGACCGCAGGCCCTTTCTCCATGGGAAACTCACCTTCAGTATTGGAAATGGGGGTACTGTCACATTTGCTTTCACACTGCTGCATCGATGGAGGCCGAACAGTTTCTGGACAGTCACTAGACGCCTGTCCAGTATAGGACAGACACTGCACAGTCCTCATCTGCTGTCCAAGGCCACACTGAGCGGAACACTAAACCCAAAGACACAGAGAGAAACAAAATGTGAATCTCAACAATTTTCAGGAGGTAAAAAGATATTATATCTTTTCAAATACCACATATATTGGCTTTTATAGTCCATATGAAGTTCATTTTGGAGAGATATATAATTAAGTTATTCTACTCTAGAATTCATTTGAAAATTCAATGAACATGTTATTACCCTAGAAAATGGAAGCCGTATAGTTTCTAGAAAACAAGAGATGTCTTGGGCTATTTTTCTAACAGTTCCGATTAGGTGAACTGTAACAGGAGTGTAATAAGAAAACCCTCATGAGGAAGTAATAATTAGAAGAGTCTAGGGCTGGGACATCACTTTTGCCCCCTATTTATCATAGGGCTATGGGCAAATAATCTGATAGTCTACTGGAGTGCTGTGAATCTGATCAAAATAGGAATTCAGTACAATAGCTGTGAATGCTGTGTGGGCTAGTGATGGGGACCAGTTTAAAAAAAAAAAAAAAAAAGCTTAAATAAATACCTTGAGTTTTCTAACGTATTGGCAGTCACACAAATGCGAGCCTAGTAGCATGTCTCCTCCTTTTTCATCTACTCAGGGCTTTAGTTACTTTAGAGTTGAAAATATTCTCTGAGTAACTTAGATTCAGGGGAGACTGATCAGCTGTCTGGGCTAAAGCATGAAGCTGGATCTTTCTTTGGGTCTGCCACCCAGAATGCCCACAAAGCCTGTGAGATCAGGGATCAAGGAGATGAGCTAGCCAGTGCCAAGACAGGTGACAGTGATACTTACAAGGTTAACAAACTGAGACCTTATTGCATTTGTTTGTAAAAACTCTCAAAACATTTACAGGACCTGCAGGGATATTCATAGAGACTTTTATTTTAAAATTTCTAAATACATGTTATGTGGAAACTAATTTGACAATAAACTATTTGTAAAAAAAAAAAAAGAAATGCAGCAGAAAAAAAAAATTCTAAATACAGAATGATAATCAAATGCACCATGAAATGTATTAAAGTGTATTTGAAATGTCTTTGAAAAAATATTTTTACCAGTTAATTTTAATTTTAGTAAACTGAATTTAAAACATAGATGACAAGAAAAGGACTTGACAACATTTAAAAGAATAATCCGAAATTGATTACTGCAAATTTGGTGAAATCACTAACATGCAAAAACTTTCAGCTGACCTTTATATAACAGTGTGTTGCAACAAAGAATATGTAAATCAAAATTATGAGAGCATGTCTGTACCGATTCTTTAACACCCTATCAATTCCATATTTTGAAACTGTTATACTTCCACAGTGAAACACATAATTGCTTACAATGCCTATCATGTGGCTACCCCTTGAGTACCTTATAAATTAAATACTGCTATACAAATGCAACGTATTATTTGTTATACACATGCAAATGTTAATTATTTTAAGATCACACTGATTTTGTCTCCCCACAGGGCTGGCTGAGCACAGAGCAAATATATTCATTTGCTTCAATGGAGACTGAAAACCTTTGCCCTTTCCCAGCTGTAATGAAAGAGGTCTCTACATACTGCTATACTGTAGAAATACGGAGGGTTGGCCAGAATTTTGCTAACTACTTCTACGAAATGCCATTTTTAATAAGTAATGACAGGTCCAGCCAGTCTAGAGATTACACAAAATCATACTGGTATAGTTATGTGCCATGATTTATTTTGGGTCTCAGATATTATAAAACAACTAGCTACATGGTTAATTATAAAACCACAGGAAAAAGGCATTGATTGTCTAAGTATTACCTTTCTGGAACATTATTTTTAATGTAACCTAATAGATTTCCTTTTTGACATCCAAAAGAATAATACTCATTTTTCCTTGTATCCAAATATATCAATTTGTTGTTAAGGATTTAAGATGGCCTTCACCAAGATAACACAGTTTAAAAGTAAGTGAGAGTGAAGAAAGAAAAAATAGGAATTAGAACACAAAATGCAAATGAGTCTCACGTAAAAATAGACCAAAAGCTCTTTATACTGGCTTCCGAATTCATGACATCCATCAGATAAATCCATTGAAGAGTAGATACTAATAATATTTCAAAGATTGCCAATCACATTATCAAGCTAATTAGAATGCCCATACTTTTTCTGTGAAGTTAAGAGCAGCCACTTTTGCAAGTAGGAAAGTTAAGACACTGATATCAACAAATTTGTTTTTGAAGTAGTTGAAAGATTTGGGACTAGAATCCAAAGTTTTGTTAGCTTGCTCAAATATCTGGCCATACAGACTATCTCTCTTTTAATTTTAAGTTACATTGGTAAGCCCCAAGGAGTAGGTAGAAGTAGGAAGTGTGTGGGTGCGGGAGAAACACAGCTAGTGGGTCTATGTGTGGCTGCTGCTCGTGCATTGTTTCATACTTGTATCTTATACCCAGATTTCTATATCGTGTTTCTCATCTCTGGAGCCCTTATAATGACTGAATCAGAAAACTCAAGTGTCTCAAGGTGCTGCTTCAACAGGAGCCCCTAGTCCCACCACCTTACCTGGCCCCAGTCTCCAGTCACCCAGCGAGGAGGAGGGCAGCGGCCCAAACTGCAGCGGATACGGACAGGGGGTTTGCTCTCTTCTGGACACTGTGATGCTGGGAATGTTTTAGAGAGGTCACTGCTCTTGCACAGAACAATCCGATGCTTGAATCCTGGACCACATTTGGGAGTGCACTAGAAATAAAACAAATACTAATGAATCATGGCAGTTGAAAGATAGAGGAAAATATGAGGAAGGTCTTTCTTAAAGTACATGTGTTTGGGTATACAATATGCATATAGACAAAATTCTGGTCAAAGTCTTTCAGATTTGAAAACTCCTTAAGTTTTTAAGCAGAAGTACTTTTATCTTTTTCCCTAAGGACTTTAAGAGCTAAATCCAAAGTTTGCTTTTCTTGGCTAACTTATTTTCTTCTTTTATTGTGGGTAGGTTTTTTCCTTGATACCTCCCTGACCTTGGCTACATTTAATAAACACGATATATACCAAGTATTGTGCTAACTGCTAGAATTTATATAGTCTTTACAGAAATCCTAATTTTTGGATGTGAATCCTTGGTTTCCTACTTGCTGGGTGTAGTCTTCTGAAAAGAATCCTTATTATTAGTAGACATGAGAACTCATCTTTATGAAGCAAGCTGGAAGTTAATTGAGATGTGTATTCTTAGAGTGTGGTAACTAATAATACATGGCAATTGGTCATAGTTTATTGCACAGAAAATCTCTGAACTTTTCCTTGTACCTAAGAAATTTCCTTAAACATAATGAATTTGACTCTTCTTTAGTTGGACCAGACTGTTCTTCATACCGAGGAAAAGATGCTTCTTCTTCCAATGTCACAAAGGTCTATTATTTACCTCTATTCCAGGTTAATTGGAATACTGTTTCTTAGAGTCACCTATTAAACATGGTGACTGACTAAAGTCCTCCAACTTCCTACCCTCTATGTTTGAACACTTCCTTAAAATCTGTTCTTCCTCTCAGTCAGGTGAGGATCTTATCAATAACGTTTTGAAGCCCTGTTTCTATACTTTTTATTCAAGAACAACAACAAAAGAAAGAAAGAAAGAAAGAAAGAAAGAAAGAAAGAAAGAAAGAAAGAAAGAAAAGGAAGGAAGGAAGGAAAGAGAAGAAAATAAAAGAAAAGAAAAGAAAAGGAAAGAAAAGAAAAGTAAAGAAAAGAAAAGGAAAAAAAGAAAAGAAAAGAAAAGAAAAAAGTGTTCCAGATCTAATGCAGGAGCTAAACTAGAATGAGGGGAAGGGGATACAAAAGTGAATAAGATGTTCTCTACCTTCCAGGAGATCATAGTTTTATGTAGGAGATATACATGTGAACACAGGTTAAGTAGTATAAAAGAAGATGTAGAATATATATACTCTTGTGCCCAGCATCACCATCTGCCTATTTATAATTACATGTTTACATGTCTTATCATCCCTCCCAGACTATAAGCTCCTTAAAATGATTTCATTTCTAGTTTTTCTTTGTACACCACCCCATTCTGACCCTCAGGATTCAGCACAGGGCTTTGAGTATGCACTCAATAAATACATACTGTTCTATATCTGGAAGGATGGCTTTCATTTACAATCAGGTAAATCAATATGTGCTAGTTGTGGGATGAGGATATCATAATGAACACTATATATACCCCGTGCTCTGTCAGGGGCAATCTTTGAGCCTGGGGCGTGTCATAGAGAGAAAAATACTACTATTTTTTTTTCCAGGTGAAATCAAGGATCCCATGAAAACTTTTCATCATCATGAATGTAATAACAGAATACATTTCCTCCAACTTAGAAAGAGTTTCAATAAGATGCATTTTGAAGGAGGATAACATCCAGTTCTTTCCAATATGGCTCCAGGAGAAGCTTTGGTTAGGGACTTTGTGGTCAAAGTGGTCAAATTCCTGATGTTTGCTACTTCTTTTCACACCCAAATCAACATCCTTCTTTCCAGCTGCTTCTTCTCTCTTCTCATAGAATCATCACGGGGTCCTGTTAGTCCAACTCCCACATTCTCTCACATCTGTTTTTTTCTCACATCATTTCCTTCATGTAAGATAGCACTGTCATTCAAGCAGGTCTCCTTATTTCTTGCTCTTACCTTACTCCACTCTATAAAGCACAAATCAATTATATTTTCTTGTGTTTAAAAAATAAATCCTTCAATGGCTCATTATTGTCTTCAAGATAAAAATTCAAACTTTAAATATGCTTACTATCCCCTCATAGGAAGGCTAAGTTTACCTCTTCAGATCAATCTCTCCATTCTAATGTGCAATATTCTCTAATGCAAGCCCAGTGCCACATACAATGCCACTACTGCTGCCATTTCTACTAATTAATCACTACTAAAAATAATGATGATAATAGCAGCTATCATTTAATAAACATGATATATACCACATGTTGTGCTAAATGCTATAATTTACATAGTCTTTACAGAAATCTTATGAGATGGCAATTACTATTTTGTTTTTAAAATGAGAAAACAATCTTAGAGACTCAGTGCTTGGTAGAAAGTCATGCGGCTATTAAATGGCAGATGTAAGGCTAACTCTTACTGTTTTTTGGATGTTAGGCTTTACACTATGTCCTTTGCAACTTTTGTCTCAATTAATCCTTACAACAATCCTATCACTTTATATTCGGGAAACCAAGACATGCAATCATGTGTTCTGTAGAACAAACAAAGCCCAGATTCCAGGCTGTTGAGCTTGCCCCACCTGTGTCTAGTCCTCCCGACTTCATACCAAGTCTCCTCCACCATCGACCAATGTTAGAAGAAGAGGCCTTCGAGGATTTCTGCCACTCTCTGAATTCTTAATATCATTACTGCTAATAACACTACTACCTTACATTTCATTAGAGCTTCACAGTTCACCAATTTCTTTTCTTTATTTTTTTAATAGTTTATTGTCAAGTTGGTTTCCATATAACACTCAGTGCTCATCCCAACAAGTGCCCTCCTCCATGCCCACCACCCCCCTTCCCCTCTCCCCCACCCCCCTCAGCCCTCAGTTTGTTCTCAGCATTCAAGAGTCTCTCATGGTTTGCCTCCCTCCGTCTCCCCAACTATTTTTCCCCTTCTCCCGCTTCGTTCTCGGTTAACTTCCTCCTAATCCACCTATACGTGCAAACATATGGTATTTGTCCTTCTCTGCCTGACTTATTTGCTCAGCATAACCCCCTCTAGTTCCATCCATGTTGCTACAAATGGCCAGATTTAATTCTTCCTCATTGCCATGTAGTATTCCATGGTACAGATAAACCACATCTTCTTGATCCATTTGTCAGTTGATGGACACTTAGGTTCTTTCCATGTTTTGGCTATTGTTGAGAATGCCGCAATGAACATTGGGGTACATGTGTCCCTATGCATCAGCACTCCTGTATCCCTTGGGTAAATTCCTAGCAGTGCTACAGCTGGGTCCTAAGGGAGTTCTATTGTTAATTTTTTGAGGAAACTCCACACTGTTTTCCAGAGGGGTTGCACCAGCTTACATTCTCACCAGCAGTGTAGGAGGGTGCCCATTTCTCCACATCCTCGCCAGCATCTATAGTCTCCTGATTTGTTCATTTTAGTCACTCTGACCGGTGTGATGTGGTATCTCAGTGTGGTTGTGATCTGCATTTCCCTGATGGTGAGGGACGCTGAACATCATTTCATGTCTGTTGGCATTCTGGATGTCCTCTTTGGAGAAGTACTGTTCATGTCTCCTGCCCATTTCTTCACTGGATTATTTGTTTTTTTGGGTGTGGAGTTTGATGAGTTTCTTATATGTTTTGGATACTAGCCCTTTATCTGATATGTCATTTGCAACTATCTTTTCCCATTCCGTTGGTTGCCTATTAGTTTTTTTTTTTTTTTAATGTTTGTTTATTTCTAGGAGACAGAGAGAGAGACAGCATGAGCAGGGGAGGGTCAGAGAGAGAGGGAGTCACAGACTGAAACAGGCTCCAGGCTCTGAGCTGGTAGTCAGCACAGAGCCCGACGCGGGGCTTGAACCCACGAACCGTGAGATCATGACCTAAGCGAAAGTCGGACGCCCAATCAACTAAGCCACCCAGGCACCCCGGTTGCCTATTAGTTTTATTGATTGTCCTCTAGGGTTTTGGTGGTTTCTTGTCTCACATTCAGGTCCTTTATCCATTTTGAGTTTATTTTTGTGTATGGTGTGAGAAAATGATCTAGTTTTATTCTTCTGCATGTTGCTGTCCAGATCTCCCAGCACCATCTGTTAAAGGGGCTGTCTTTTTTCCATTGGATGGTCTTCCCCGCTTTGTCAAAGATTAGTTGGTCATACATTTGTTGGTCCAATTCTGAGTTCTCTCTTCTATTCCATTGGTCTGTGTGTCTGTTTTTGTGCCAATACCGTCTGTCTTGATGATGACAGCTTTGTAGTAGAGGCTAAAGTCCGGGATGATGATGCCTCCCATTTTGGTTTTCTTCTTCAATATTACTTTGGCCATTCGGGGTCTTTTGTGATTCCATACAAATTTTAGAATAGTTTGTTCTAGTTTTGAGAAGTATGCTGGTGTAATTTTGATTGGGATTGCATTGAATGTTGCAATTGAATATTGCTTTGGGTAGTAATGACATTTTAACTATATTTATTCTTCCAGTCTATGAGCATGGAATGTTTTTCCATTTCTTTGTGTCTTCTTCAGTTTCCTTCATAAGTTTTCTATAGTTTTCATCATACAGATCTCCTATATCTTTGGTTAGGTTTATTCCTAGGTATTTTATGTTTTTTTGTTCAATTGTGAATGGGATCACTTTCTTGATTTCTCTTTCTGTTGATTCATTATTGGTGTATAAAAATGCAACCAATTTCTGTATGTTGATTTTATATCCTGCAACATTGCTGAATTCATGGATCAGTTCTAGTAGGCTTCTGGTGGAGTCTGCCGGGTTTTCTATGCAGAGTATCATGTCGTCTGCAAAAAGTGAAAGTTTGACTTCTTCTTTACCAATTCTGATGCATTTTATTTCCTTTTGTTGTCTGAGGGCTGATGCTAGGACTTCCAGCACTATGCTGGAAGTGCGTAGACATTTATAACTGTTAGTTCTTCCAGATGGATAGAACCTGTAATTATTATATAATACCCTTCTTCATCCCTTGTTACTGTCTTTAATTTAAAGTCTAGTTTGTCTGATGTAAGTATAGC